CAGGGCACACCCACGCGCACACACACACAGACACGCACACACTCAGGGCAGGGCACACCCACGCGCGCACACATGCACGGCCTTGCAGGGCGGGGCGGGTGTGGGACAAGGACGGGTTTCCTCTGGTCCACTTTCAGCCCCGCACGGCTGGGCGCATAACCCGTCCTTGGTCATCGTGGATTCCAGACTCCCAACGTCCTCTCCTGCCTCGCTCACGAGGCCCCCTGCACAGTCACGTCGCCGGGAACATGCCGACGGCCCGCAGGCTTTCCGCCCAGGCGGCCGACGCTGTGAGGTCGACGTGCTTTTCACCAATAAAGACACGTAAGATGTGAAAAGTCTCCAGAAGGAGCCGTGCGACGTCACGGGAAACCCATCGGAGGACGCGTGAATTCCGGCCGCGTCACACCCGCGCAGTCCCTCTCCCTCCCCGGCCTCCACCCTGATGGGCAAACCGGGGACGCGCCCCCGCGGGACAGCGCGAGGCGGGAGGAGCGGGTGCTCCTGGAAGTTCCGAGCGGGTGGCCTGCCCGCAAGCGGCGGAATGCGGGTGCAGTCGAGTTCTTGGTCGGTTATCTTTTTACGCCATTTGCATATCAGTAAAAATCAAGCCATTTCGGTATAATAAAGGAAAAACAAACTTTGTCAGCCCAGCAGCACGTCGCGCAACGAGGAAGACTCAGGCACCCGCAGGCAGGCCGTCACAAACGAATTCAAGAGCGGAAAACCCATGCTCCCATTTTAGAAAGATTTAGCCCCAAACGATTCAGATAAGAAAGAAAAATGACAAACAGACGATATTTCACTAAAAACATATGGAGACAACTGCTGCCTGCCAGGGCCAAACAAAGCAGAAACAGCGAAGTCACCTCACACCACTGGGCACATAAAGCTTCGCGGTGGAAAAGTCGACCACATCCTGCCCACGAAAGTAAGAGTCTGCAGTTACGGACACAGAAAGGCTCAGCGGGGCCCAGCCGCCTCTGGCGCTGCCACCTGCTGGCGGCCCTCTCGGCCACCTGGCACCAGGCCGCTGGCAGTGCGGGATCCGTGCCCGGCCCCTCGTCCCCAGTGTGGGATCCGCGCCCGGCCTCTCGTCCCCAGTGTGGGATCCGCGCCCGGCCCCTCGTCCCCAGCAGCACGGTGCCTGGGACAGGCTGGTGTTTGACGAAAACAGAGGGGCAGGTGCATTCGTCTGGGCAGGTGAAACGCCCACCCGGCCGCCTGTCGTCGGCGAGGGCTGGAAGGCACCACCGCCTGCTGGGCGTGGTCTGCACCCACGCAAAAGACTTGGACCGCGTGGCCCACCTGCACAGCGACACGTGACTCCATGACCATCCGTTCACTTGCGTTGTTCACTATCCGATTCTCTGGCCCATGTGGCCATGTCATGCATTAAATGAGGCACAGGCACAGGCGTGACCCGCACCTGTTTCCTTTTTAAACATGATATTGATTTAACTTTCATCTTTAGATCTGAAATCCAACTGTATTTGGTATTTGGTATTTCATATGCTGTGCAATAGGGTGGAAGTTTCATTTTTTCCCTTACATGTGACGAAGATCTTTCCAAATCATGTCATCCAAGCTGCTTCAGAATGTACTTCACTTACTCTGGGTGTTGAGAGATTAAATGCAAATAGTTACAAATTATTTTATCTATTCATTTCCATAGAACCAAAATGCCCATTACTGAACAACACTTTTCTCAAATTTCTCAAAGTTTAGAAGAATTCTCCCCAAACTGTAAAGACTAGGGTTTATTCCGCCCTTGTTAAGGTTTTAAAAACTCCTAAAAACTCCCCACTCCACCCGGCTACGTCCTCCCTTCCAGTTTCCCAGGAGCTCCTTTTAACAGACTTATAGGTGTGGGCCAGAGTCAGCCTCGGGGGGAAACGTCATCAAAGCCCATGTGGTCACCGGGCTTCACACACCGGGAAAAGGGGAAAGAAAGGGAGCATTTTCACAGACGGTGTCACTGTGGGTGCAGATGACCCAAAAGCGCCTCTGCATGCAGTGCGGAAATAAACAAGAACTACTTAAATGCCGTTAGTCTATGGTATTAATAAAACGGTCACTTATGATACGCTGTGTCAGTATTTTGAACGTATATTTCAATATGCCATCAATAAATAACAACTGGAATAAAAAGATACAATTTACAATAGCATTAAACATCACCAATATCTAGAAATCAATCTAATAAAAGATGAGTAAGGTTTCTACATTGAAATTTTTAAATGTTATTGAGAGGAATACAAGAAGACGTACATGATTTACAGAATGAATCATGTTCGCGAAAAGGATGACTCGATATTGTGAAAGTTGTCAGTTCCCTTCAAATTAATCTAGAAATTCAGAAAAACAGAAAACCATAACCCTAGAACGTGGTTCCACAGTGTAGCGGTGAGCACGTCTGCT